TGTGGGTTGGAGGTGACCAAGCTACTAGAGTCCTGTGTTCCTGTAAGGTCACATGATAGAAATGTCCTCGAAGGTGACCAGAGCTGTAAGTGTAAGGGCAGCTTAGAGGGGAAGAATAAGTTATCTAAATATCTAAAAATATCTTTTTTTGTTTGTTCACTGACAGGAACAATTCTTGTGTGTTAGATATTTAAGAGGGATGACCGTTATTCCAAAGAATTTGCAATACAAACACAACCAAGCTGTTTAATACTAGAGAAAGAAAAACGTGTGTGTTTAGATACAGTGTAGGCAGAACAAAAGAGAGTCTTTCCAATAACAGGACTCATCTGCAGCCTAGCCCTTCTCCTTAGGGTCTGATGACCCTGGCAGGCCCAGGCAGACAGTGCTGCAAGAAGGTGAATTTTGGGAGTAGTGCTCTTTTTTTTTGGCTTTGGGGCAATGGGGATGTGGCCAGAAGCAAGGCAGTTGTTCTAGTTGTTATGGAACATAATGAGAAAGTGGTTGGCTGAGCTGCCTGGTGATGGTGGAAAGAAAGGGAGGCTAAAGCAGGTGCAGGACCTTAAGCAATAGAGGAAGATGCTCAGATGTTGTAAGCTGAAGGCATGTATTGCATGAGAGTTGGTAATAGCCTGATACACAAGGAATTAAGGGGAAGGAAGAATTATGGTGAGTATGAGTGGCACAGAAGATTCAAAAAGTCAAGGGTGATTAGGAAAGGGGAAGGCAGGGGTGGGAATGGAACGATGGCTATATATGGCTGTATTAGCTATATCACAGCTAATGTAAGAGAAATGACAAGCTGTTGCAGCAAGTGCTTAAACTTGATCAAAATTAAGTCTGTAATTATACTAATCATAGGCATGTTAGTCTTTGTCAGCTATTTTCTTACTGTCAAAATATCTCATTAGTCATTAGTATTTAAAGCATTTTTAGAGAGATATTTGGATGTTTATATCACAGCCCAAATAGCAAAAAGAATAGGAAACAAAGAACTAAGTTGATCAGTTGTGAAACTTCACAATGAATTTGACTAAGGTAGTTCAAAATTATCCACAAAACTAAAATGTCTCTTACACATGTTGCTGTTTTCCTAGTAAATGAGATTGCAGTATGTCTTTATTGACTGTTGGTATTTCTCAATAAAATACCGAAAACTGAAGTAGCAAATCCAGGCAGCATAACAAAATATACAGCTATTACCAAAGAAAGCTGGATTACAAAAGAGGATCTATAGTCTCCTGCTTTTCCTCTCAGGCTCCCATAAAATCATGGTCTGATTTCTTTTTTAATATGTTTACAATCTTAAAAAATTACAGGATTCTTTTAAGGAAATAGTAAGTTCCTCTGATTATGTGGCAAGTAAGCGTTCTTCTGGGATTTGTACTGTAATTCTGTTATTTTCATCTTTAATCAAATTCCTTACATTAAAAATAATAAAGTTAACCAAAAGAAATCTATCCCTGGTTCTAACAGCATAGGCTGGTGAACATAAGATTGCTATTTACTGTTATATCTCCTGTACTGCAGATGTTCTGTTTGTAATACAGAACTGTCTTGTAGACCTGTCTTGCTTTGAACAGTTTAACCTCACTAAACTAGTGTTTGAAGAAGAATTATATTGAACACTGCTTGAAGGCTAAGTAAAAGGAAAAACTTACAAAAACTTGCTTATAAAAGTAAGAGAAGACCTGGCACACAAACACCAGAAACAGCTTTGATCAAAGGGAAGTCCTGAATCTGGAGTTGGAGGAGGAAATTCTTTTCAATGTTACCTACAGGTGTTTTAATTTCAGGGTTGAGTTATACAAAACTTAGATTTTTTTTTTTTAAATTTTTGTCTCTCATGGTGGCTGTACTAGTTCTATTTTTCATATATTTCCCACAATAGGCAAAAGAAATCGCTCTCGAATACTGTTTATTTGTACATAAGAATGATCCAGGACTCTGAAGAGCTCTGACTACAGCAGTCTTACTGACTTGCTTATGAGCTAGCTGGGGAGATGGAACAACTCTGCAGTAATTTCCTTTCACAAAAGGTGAATTGGATAATTGTTCATTTACGCAAAATTCTCTTATGCAGCATTCAGTGACTGGCTTTGACCACCTTCCTTGTGAAGGAGGTTACTGGGGGAACTAGTGAAGTGACTAACACTGACACGGGTTTGGAAATCACAAATGCCTTTGAGTTCCTCGGTGGATACAAATGACACAATATTCTTTCTTGCCTCATGACTGAGCCTCACTGTAGGAAAAAATAAGGGGATGCTGCTAGAAGCACAGGAATGTGTTGTCTGTTCACCAACTTCTTCAGGAAAGCCGAGTGATATTTTGGGAATCCTCTTCTATATTTGCCATGCTAATTTTCACTTGGTGGTGATTACATTACAAGAGGGTTTTGCATCTTTTTAGAGCACAAAAGCACCTCTTACATTTGAGAAGACTTGCTGTGTTCTGATTTTCGCATGTGACACTGCTACAGCTGTACATGTTCCTCATGATTTCAAAACTGGAGATATGTGGGGTCTAATCTTATGTACTGAAGACAGCTGTAGGTATTCATACTGATACCCTGATGTCTGCACTGCATAACTGTTGGCTTCACATTGGGTTTCAATTTGGGGATGCTGAATCGGGAAGCTGAATGTAGATTTTTATCCTGCTTGGCTGAGCCTTTTTTCCTTCCTGTTAATTTTTGTACCTTTGTAGCAAAGGAAGCTGGCAGGTGTGTAAGGCTAGGAAGAGAACAGTCAGGATGATGGATTATCAGCTGGGTTTGTCATCTTGGATATGTCTTTTCTTAGGTATGCAACTTTCACTTAAATTGGTTGGAACTTGAAACTATGTTCCTGAGAATTTGAGTGGAAATAGGAAAGCAACTGTAAGATGGGGGGCGGGGGAGGGGGGAAGGTCTGTTTGCATCTTCATCTCATGTTAGCATTGATTTGTTATTATGTCCATAGTGAAAAAGGTCTGCCTTTTATTGGTATAAGGGCAGCCTAGCAAACCAATTTCATTTTCACCTTTTAAGCTGTACTGTTTCTTTCCTGAGTCTTTAGGGCTGCTGTTGCAATCACTCTTGTTAAGAGAACTATATGGATTTGTCCAGACTTTGTCCCGTTCTCTGATTCTCCAACTTGCAATACAAGTCACTTGCCAGTACAAAACCACTTGCAGATGAACTCAGACTTGGGTGGAGGACCTGGGAGAAAGTGGTTTAAGTGTATTTGTCCTCTCAGAAGCAGAGGTACCTGGGTATTTGTTTCTGTATTTATCCAGGCAGATCTAGGTATGTCCTCTGCAAACATTAATCTGTAACGTATATTAGGAGTGCCGGTGGAGGCCTTCAAGAAGGAAACATGTCCAAAAAATTGCTCTAAAAGAAAATTTCGGAGTATCTAGAACTGTTCCTATATGTTGTAGGTTCCAGAGGGCAATCTGGAGGTAGAGGTGAACGTGTGTTAATATGAACTTAGTATATTTAACTGAAATGGGGGTTTTAGTGGAAAACTGCAGGGTAGGGTAGAGCTGAACAACAAAATATAATGTATTGCCAATCTACTAGAAAAGGGAATGTTTAATGTTAAAGAAGATACATTACTTAAAAAAGGTGGAATCTTGCATATGGCCCTTCTTAAACTGGCAAAATTGAGAGACTAGGTGCAAAAGAAGAATGTAGGAAATGGCAGGTGAGTTTCCTTTCAAGAAGGATGAAAGTGAACTGCTCCAATGCTTAGTATGAGAGATGTTTAGTGAATCAGATTTGGGAAGGGAGTAACAAGACTAGCCAAAACTAGAGACATTTCTGAAATCCAAGTAGAAGTAAATAAGTAGTAACAATGTAAAGTGAAAGATTCATAACTGCAAAATAACATGAAAAAACATTTTATGAAAATCATTTTTTAGGAAAGTTTTTTTCAGATACATCAAACATTGAAATAAAACTTGTTATGTAGAAAATAGATTTTGTTTTGAGACATGGAAGGTAAAAGTAAATGAAAATAATGCATGCTGGTCTGTACAGATAAGGAAGTTCTTTTGTCTGCCACCCACAAGTAGACTTTGAAACTTACTGCTATATAATGTTTGTGAGACCTGGATTTTAGTAGGAGAGGTTATGTATTGTCAGTAGATAGGTTTATGCATTTTGCTGTGTGTGCAGATGGAAGGGAAAGAATTTTTTGGAAGTTAACTTGTTGGGGTTTTATTAACTTTCCTCAGCAACTTAGTGTAGCCTGGCCTGTCTTCATATTTTCTGTTGTTAGCCCTGGCTGCTTCACAGCAGTTGCTGTTTTCCTTTGATGCTGTGCGCTGCTGAACAGGTGTTATATTCCACCCAAGAGTTCTGAAATTAAGTACAAGATGAAGTGACTTATGTCTAAACTTTGAATCATTTGGGGAATCAAAGGCATAATAATGTGTTTGAATCATTAATTTTATGATCTTTCGGTTTATGTAATTATTGTTTAGAATAATTCTGAGCACATTAAGTTTACAAAATCAATTGCTGTTCTGTTGTGAATCAGTGTACAGCAGTACTGGTTTCTAGCTGGGACCATTCAATCTTTGCATAATACTCAGTAAGTCATGCTTTTCATTTGTAATCATTTTTCCATATGTTCTCCTTAATGCTGCCATCAGATGACACTTAATAAAATTTAAGTGATCTACAGTTTACTTGTACACTTAAATTAATAAGATTTTTATAAAACAGAGTTCAAAAAAGTTTCAGTATGGCTATGAGTGAGCAATTTGGCATAGTTTCGTTTGAAGACAACTCTTGTGATACTTCAGAAATAAGAATCAGGGAAGCAGTTTGCCTTAAAGACTATTTTCTGGTTGTTCTAACCAAATTTGACTGTTGATCTGCACTTGAGTAGTTTGCAACCTAGGCAATTCTTACCCTATTTTAGTCAATGCTGCCTGCTTTGCTCCTACTTTTTGAAGTTAAGTTTTCCACATACAAGCAGTTCTTGAATGTAGTTGCTCATTTTGAAAGCAGTTGCTCTTAAAATTGCTATGTAAATGATCAAAGTGGTTTTTTAAATGCTTCTGCTTCTTAGAACTTGGGAGTTGATTATATTTAACATGTAACCTGCTATGACCATAAGTATAAAAGGCTGTTACCCTGTTTTCAAATTTTATTTGGGTGTTCAGTGTTACAAACAGTTGTGCACAATATTCCTGCTTTGATTGCTAAGATTGCAATTTAGTAATTTTAGTAGAAGAGCATGAGTAAATATGTATGCCTGTATCTATATACTGAGTATAAATACTTTATTTATTGTATTTAACTGTAAGTACATGATGTAAAACCTGTTTCAGAGACCAGTCACGACAGAATTTAAAAAAGCCAGAGGTTGGAGGGAGATTAATATGTTAGTGCCTATAAACTGACACAGTTTAATTACAGGTTTTAATATTTAGTATAATTATACAGTGCTTTTCACTTTCATAGTTCAAATGTGAACTAATTTATCCTCATGACACCCCTCTAAAGCATGTAAGTAATACTTATCCCCGGTTTACAAGTGGGGAATATGATTTGGTCTTAGTACCAAACTGCGCTGCAGAGATTACATTCAGGGCTGCCCATGTTCCTCTCTACAGCCAAACTGTCCATCTCCCAAAGCCTCACAGTGCCTGTTTGGGGCCGCACTGAACCCTGAGCGAAGCCACCACCTTCGGGTTGAACCTTCAGCTCTGCTTGGTGTTGAGCCTGAGCCTTCCTGCCAGCTATTTCTCAGGCTTCATCTCACAGCTCCTAAGGCAGCTCCCTCCTGTTGCTTGTTCAGACAGTTTCTTGTCTGCACACCCGGTCCCATGTCTTCAGAAGAAAAGTGGCGGTGTAGAAATCCCGTCCATTGCCCAAGAGTGATCTGTGTATGAGTGGGAGAGGAGACAGGCTGGATCAATCGGTGTTCAGCTGACTAAGTGAATGTAGTGGTCTTGAAAAGTGCCTGGTTGAGAGACATGGAGATGGTTGCGTCTTGACCCCAAAACAAGAGTGACGCAGGCAGTGGAAGCTGAGGTTTCCCCAGTGGCACCACTAGGATGCCTGGCTGCTGCTGCGGTGGGAAGGTGGTTTGGACTCGTGCCTGATCGGACATGCTGTCTCCATGCCTTGTTAGTCCATGCTATTGCTGAAGGCTGCCAACAGTGTTGAAAGATCAGTGAATTACAACTGTAGCAGGTGCTGGTTACATGTGTAATGAAATTTCTTTATACATCCCCATTAAAAATTTTGATCATACTGCGTGTAGCCTGTATAATATCTTGTAAGGAAAAATCACTCCGAGTCGGACGTATCTGTAGTACTGTGCTGAACAGCATCGTAGAGCTCGGACCTTCTGCCTGGTGTCTTCAGCTTTTACAGTCTTCTAGCTTACTGGCATGAAAATAACACTGGTGTAAGTATAGTGATACTGAGCCCCTGAGGAAAGGTATATTTGGGATCGTGCTGGGAGAAGAGGCCTTGGTGGGGGCAGTGCTGCTGGCCTGGGGCAGCAGGCACCCTTGTTCCTGTAAAGGAACCCTGTTGTTAAAGAATCTGTGGTAGCTGTGTTGAAATTTAACCTTCTAGCACAAACTGACGAATGAGCTTTTGATAAAATGTAAACAGTTACAGAAAGAATTTTGTTTTTTTCCCTAAATAGGGAAGCTTAGCTGAGGAATCTTGAGCTATTTTTAATTCAATTTAAAAGTAGCCTTACCAAGATTATTTAAAGATAAATCTCCATTGAAGTGAGGGGTGAATACAAGTGTATTTTGTATATTGGTGTATAGTTCCTTTTCACAGATCTTTTCTCTGTTTTAGAGCAATGAAATATTTAAACTATTTGCAAGGTGATACTGCAAACCTGGGTCTGTGCAACAGCTGCACCGCTTATTCTTGTGTGGCTTCATTTCCCTTTTTATCTCGTTCTTTGCATCTGAAGACTTACCAGTATGTGTTTTGTGTAGCTGCCTGAATTGAAAGCCTCTTAAAACTAACATACTAAAGCTGGAAGCACTCACAGAAAAGGAGCTTTTTCATTCTTTGGTTTTTGTACTGTCTTGGGCTTGATTCCTGTCTTCTGAGACTCTTATGCTTCTTATGGAAGGCAGGAGAGTTCATCCACATCTTCAGACACAATTTCTTATTAATCTAAGCATACATATATGTAAGTACATATATGTATATACGCACACACTAGTGCATCATTCCCAGCTGTAGGCTCTGAAGTTGGAGACAGTTTAGGAAGTTGCTGAGCTGGAATATTTTTTTTAAACGTCTCTCAGCCACTAGTAGACAAGACATCCCTCTGACCCTTTACATCTTCTGCTGGTATTTTCATTGAATAAAGATTCCAGTATTCCCTGAGACTGCTTAACAGCTTCACCTACATGGCAGAGCTGCAGTTGTGAAATGAAGGCTTGAATTGATAGAATCCATGTTTAATTCCTAAACATCTGAAGAATTGTAGCTATCTTTGCTTTTCAGGTTCTCAGAACTTCTTTGAAAAAGTTTTTACAAATCTGACTATGTAATTTTCCTTCCCTGCCAGTATCCTCTCTTTTTTTTTTGGCTACAGAAGTAACATGGACTTAGATTTAAAAGTGATAGATTGTGTAATGTGATTCAGTTTCTAACATCTTCTCAAAACCTAACAGACATAGAGATTACACAGTTGTGACAAGCCCAGAATCAAAATGTCAAGTTAACTGGAGTTTTGGGCATGCTTAAAATACCTTACATCTGATGTGGTGATGTAGTGCCTTGAGTTGTTTCCCTGACAGTCTAGATAAGTTCTTTTCAGCATTTTCAGTTTGAATACCTTTTAAAAAATATCAGTGGAGGTGCAGGCTTCTTCAGAAAAACATAGATTGCTAGATGGTATGAGAACTTGTTTTAGTTAATTTGGTTAGCCTTTAGAAGAGGCCACCAGTGGAAAATCACTGATCTCAACTGCAAAATTTGAGTTAGAGCAGCCTGTGGCCAAAGCACTGTCTGATGTAAGTCATAGAATCATAGACTCGTTTAGGTTGGAAAAGACCTTTAAGACCATCCAGTCCAACCATTAACCTAACATTACCAAGTCCACACTAAACCAATCAAGGGTAGACTAGACTAAACCATGTCCCAAAGTGCTATGTCTACCCATTTTTTGAACACTTCCAGGGATGGTGACTCCACCATCTCTCTGGGCAGCCTGTTCCAATGCTTGACTACCCTTTCCGTGAAGAAATTTTTCCTAATTTCCAATCTAAACCTCCCCTGGCACAGCTTAGGCCCATTTCCTCTCGTCCTATTGCTAGCTACTTGGGAGAAGAGACCAACACCCACCTCACTACAACCTCCTTTCAGGTAGTTGTAGAGAGCGATAAGGTCTCCCCCAAGCCTCCTCTTCTCCAGACTAAACAACCCCAGTTCCCTCAGCTGCTCCTCATAAGGCCTGTGCTCCAGACCCTTCACCAGCTTCATTGCCCTTCTCTGAACACGCTCCAGCACTTCAGTGTCGTTCTTATATTGAGGGGCCCTAGTCACTTCAGTTCACACCAGGCTAATTAGAGTTGTTCTGAACTGACTCTGTGCTGATGATATTGCCTGTGTAAAAATGCTCCTTTGGAAGCACTGCAGTCTTACACACCTGTAACTCTTATTTATGATGGAAATGCCTATAGTGCTTTAAGACTTTGGATTTGTTTGGGGATTTTCTTACTCTGTTTAGCTTTACAGAGCCATCATAGCTCAGAGGCACCAAGGTGATGATTTTCCTCATGTTCATCAACAGCAGTCCTTGCTAGCAGTCACTTAAACCTGAGGAAGATTGCTGAAGGTACAGGAATTACACAGGTGTTTTGGGGAGACTGGTTTTAACATCACAGTTGTAGAAATACTATGCAAAGTCTAATTTTCCTTGTAAACCTGTTCTAGTATAGCTGCTGAGGTGGGAGGAAAAATATCCCACCTTAATTTTTGTTTTGTTACAAAATATTTTAAGAAATACCTTTTCATAGGCTGTAATTTCTAAGTGCTTGGGACTACTGGGGAGAAATTTAAGTCTATTTTAAAGAATATTTATGTGACAGCCAGGACATCGAAACCAGGACAAAACGCAAATCCAAATACCTCTGCAGTAGTCCTCTCCCCTGGACCCATGAACCTGTCTTCTTTATACAGAGCATAATGATTTTTTTCTTGCTGTTTACAGGTGCTCCTGACCCAACAGCAGGTGCTAGCATAGATGATGAAAACTGCTGGCATTTGGATGAGGAACAGGTCCAAGAACAGGTTAAACTCTTCCTCTCCCAGGGTGGATACCATGGATCAGGGAAGCAGCTCAATTTGCTTTTTGCCAAGGTGTGTTGAGTACTCTAAACCTTCCCTTTTTTCTCTTCCCTTTTCCCCAAGCCAGTCTGTACTTTTTCGCATCTTACTCAAAGTCCTGTTGTTCTAAAACAAGATGAAGCCTTGGGAACACAATTGCAACTTGTTACCGAGTTGTACAGCAATGGACCGCAATCTGATGTGTCCTGAGATCAGTTTAAGGATATGAAGTAACATTTCAACCATCTGCAGCTTTGCTGTTCTCTTCCTTCCCACCCCCAGAGTGTTGGAGAAACCTGTAGAAATTAGTCTTGCATCAGTTTGCATAACACACCTGTGGATTACTTGTGGAAGAATTGTCTTTGAAGAATTGCAATGGGATACTGAAACTAAAAATTGTTAAAATTGGGAAGGCAGACAATTTTTTCTATTTAAAAATTTCACATCACATATAAATTACATTTCTTATTGAACAGAGTTAGAATATTTAACACTGCAGCATATTGTCTGTAATGTGATTTGCTTGTTTTTTTCAAGTTTGTATTAAAAGACTCGTTTCCTAGGTGCGAGAAATGCTAAAGATGAGAGATTCAAATGGAGCTCGCATGTTGACGTTGATAACAGAACAGTTCATGGCTGACCCTCGTCTGTCGCTTTGGAGACAACAAGGAACTGCAATGACTGACAAGTATAGGCAGCTCTGGGATGAACTGGGTAAATGCACAGACTTCAAAATCATTCAGGTGTTCATATGTGTAATGAAGAAACAATTACATATTTGGGGTCAAGAGAAACTTTATTGTGGTACTAGGTAAAGCAGGTTAGAGTTTTCTACAGTTTTGCTTATTCAGTTACGGTTGGGTGAAATTGAATTTCTGACCTACAATGTGAGGCAATTGCAGTTGGAGGAGAGGAAGCATGATATGAAACAAGTACAATTGCAACAGGTTCTAAGTACCTGAGGACCTAAAAAGAATAAAGCAAAAAGTTGAAACGGCTACAGAACTGAGGGTAAGTATTATAAATCCACTAGTGCTAAACTGGAAAGGTTAAGGAAGAAATCAGTTCACAACTAGAGAGAAATAGAAGGCAAAAAGAGAAGATTTATTAAGAGTATGAGAAGATAGCAACAAAGGAAAGCAGAATTCCATTACTGATCAGGAAAAGAGATCAAACAACAGAGGGCTAAAAGGCTAAAACAATTAACACTGCTTTACAGGAAAGGTCAGTTGTGACCAGATACATGACTCAGTTGTACAATGGAGAGAGGGACACAGGCTGAAATCAGAAAGGAATATTTAAACTAGTAAGGTCTGAGCACACTTGCTCTAAAGTGTTCCAGAAACTTGCTAATACAGTTTTGAACTACTGCTTCAGAAGTTCTCAATGTATAGGAATTTGTGGTAGGGAGGGGAAATTCAAAACAGCTTGAATGTAAATGTCACCAATATTTTAAAGGTGGGTAGGTGAGCGGAAAGAATATTAAGTAGCCACAAGCATTGCTTTCCTAGATGTAAGGTACTGGAACAAACTACTAACTGGTTGGTGTGTAAGTGTGTAGGAGATAATGAATTTAAAATACAGGGGTAAACCTAACTTGTTTCTCTAAAAGATAATTCACTGAGTGTATGAATGAAGGGATTAATGTGTGTATCTTAGCTGTAGTAAGGTTTTGGATGCTGTCTTGGAGGCTTTCTCAAAGCAAGCTGAAGACACACAGCCTAAATGGAATTGCCTTGTGGTTCACGGGACTCGGAGTAGTTACCTGTGCTCTCACTCAATCTGGAAAGGCACTTTAAATCTAGACTTAAAGGAGTCTGTCTTGACATGTGTTCTGGTCTACTGTTATGCCTGACTGTGGCATGGAAAATAGAAATAAATAAATATTAAATAAAACAAAAACCTTAGAGATGATGCCCTGTGGGACATTATGTAAACACTGCAGAGAAGAGAGCCAAAGACCTTAATGCTCTTGATGTATTTTAAAGGTCCAAAATCACGCTATATGAAATTAAATCCAAGCAAGAATAACATGCTTCATTTAGAAAGGAAGTGTCAAAAGCAAAACTTTTTTCCACTGTTAAAGGTTAGAGATGACCATGATTGCATGTTGACTGGTCAGACTAAGACTAGATGTAACCTGCATAGCATAAATTATGTTCACTCTAAATGAAGCATTAAGCTAATAAAGCACTAGCTCTTTAGTTGAGATTATAGACTTCTGTGGTAGAAAGCCTTAATATCAGAGCAGGCAAAGCTCTGTCAGAGACTGTAGATATAACTACTTGTCTTCAAGTGTAACAACCCTTTTACTATGTAATTTTAATGATGCTTTGGCTTATTCAGGAATAACAGTTTTTGCCAAGCAGGGCATGTGCTTAGCTGGACATTCTATGATTCTATGTACGCAGCAAAATTGTATCCCACCATACTGAAAACTGGAGGGTCTCATGCTTCATTGCTTATGTGGGTTGAGCTGGTAGGTGGTGGGAGAAGCAGAAATGTGTTCTCCATCTGTTACCTGTAGCAGTCTTACCACATGCTGCCAATAAACATAAAAGGTTTTGTTAAATTTTCTTAGTGGCTCCTCTTCTTGTTTCATCAGTTTCATAATGACATCATTTTCTTGACAGCACCTGTCTGAAGGTAGAGGAGGTGGAATCTCTCTGCCTTGCTGCATCGAATAAGCAATATTTTACATTAATTGAATTGGTTAGTTTACCTTTGATCAGAATTACAGGTGCCACTCCCAAAAAGCTGCAGTGCAACCTCCAGCCTCACCACTACCTCAGCTGGTGTATTTGCAGTCTGAGGCAGACCCTGTTGTTTCAGTCCTGAACTGCTCTGATGCCTCTAACAGTATCAAAATATGTTGATTGTGTGCCATGGTGTCAATTGCAAATACATTTCAATCATTCAGGTGTGCAGTAGGCTAAGGGTAGAACTTAACTTGGTTCTTCCACCTCCAGCTTGTGTTTATGTTGCTAAACTGTCTATTTCTTCCCCACACCAGTAGGATTCCTTCCACTGGTGCTTAGCAAGTTCCCTCAAAATTGCTGTTGATTGGATGAAACTCTCCAGCTTGACTCCTATGTTGTGTGAAGGCTGCTGCCATGTTTTTGCTAGGATTTCACCCTGAGTTTCACTCAGATTAAACACATCCCTTTTTTCCAGGTGAAATGTGCATCTCAAAAAAAAAAGTGCATGTGCAAAAATTGAAGGACATTTTAAGGGATACCAGAGTTAAAATAGCAAGCTGCACGAGGAAGAGCAGGATGGCCCCGGCAGCATATGATCTGTGCCAGTAGTGACAGAGAACTCAGACATTGTGTTTAAGGGGGCGATGTTGTTATTATGTTCTAAAATAATGTTGGCTTCCTGTCTTGTCATCTTCTAGGATGTCAGAACTAAAATATCAATAAATGGAGTGACAGACCTTTGCGTACTTAACTTTTTGTATTATCTGTTCAGAGTAATCTGGGAGTGGTGTATACGTATGTCTTTAAAAAAATGTTTTATCTATGATCTCATTTATTTGAGAGGTAGGTAGCAATTTAACATTGTAGTTACAGAGAATTTTAGGACATAAAAAGTATGTAAATATAGACTCTGCTTAATAAAGGCTTGCTTGCTTGGCCTGGTATGCTGCCTGCCAACTGCTAGGCATATGGCCACTTTGTCAGTTCCATCTTGGCATGGGTTTTTTAAGCATACTTAAATAACTTCAGCTTTGCTCCTTGATTGGGTCACTCAAGCCTTTCATTAGAATTTAACTGATGCTTCCTGCCTGGCATTGGGCACTGGCAAGGGTACTGGAAGGACATGATGGGCTCTGATCAGAGTTCCTGCTGAAGTTTATGGTAAATTGTTGACTTCAGTAGGACTCAGATGGGGTTTGAATGTTTGAAGGTGCTGATTTTAAAAAAAAAAAAAGGCAGAGGGGGACCCAACCCCACCCAAAATCCACAAATACTTAACTACTTCACAGCTAAGTATGAACCTGGTGATTTTCTAATACAAAATCCTAATTCCGTAAGCAATTTACGATTCAAAAGCCACAAGTTAACAAAAAAACCTTACACGTAACTAGCTAGTTGGTTTTTAAAGTCTTTAGATCAGGAGGAAGACTATAATAATTATACTCAGTAAATTCCCCTGTTGTACATCAAAGAATGGGTTGAGCTAAATGCTACTTATGAACTCCAAAGGTAGCATCAGAAAGATCAAGATTACAGGTCAAAGCTATAAGGCTTAGCTCATATACTTCTCATACTAGAAGAATTCAGAAGCAACTTCAGTGAAGCACTGGTGAACACTTCCAACTTGCCACAGTAATACATAAATGCGCTGTCCAGAGTTTAGAGCAGAGTAGAATTCTTCATGTTGTTGCTGTTTAAATGGTGTCTCAGTAGGTAAATGTCACATGCTGATCTTTAGGTTTTCAACTCTTGGTGACCATGGTTGAGGACTTCAGTGTGTCAGAATGATGAATTATCTGAAGCCCCTTCGTTTGCCTGTTTAATCAAATTGTATTGTTAAAATGGGGGGGTATGGAAATGCACAGTAAATATGTGCTGATGCCTGTTGAGCTGAGATCTCCCATTTAAAGAAAAGGTCAGTTAACCTTTGTAGTCTGGAGGGAAAAAAAGGACCATGCAATCTTACTACAGCAATAATTTGTTAATATTCATCCATGAAAAATTAAGTAGAAGTTGATTGTTCTCTACAAAAGTGAAAAGATTTCCTTAAAAAAAGGGGTAAAATTTGACTTTGTGCCCCAGCCCAGGGATCATGATGACTGTGAGGCCCTGCTTTGGAATTAAATGTTGAGCACTGCCAGATGCCAGACATCGGGAAGAGGCTGAGTTTTGTCGGCAAATGGGATCTGCAAGTTAATTGGTGTTTTCTGCAGGCTTCTGGCTGTGAAATGAAATTGGAAGCCCTTTAGCCACATGGATAATACAGGACCTGAATACAAATGTCACATGTCACCATCAGGGCCCACTGTGAAACAATAGTGTTCCCACTCGAACACTGCACCATTACAGATCATTTAAATATGGGGATTACATTTAAACTAAAAGCCCCATTTGCCTTTTACTGCAATTTAAATGTCCTCTTAGCAAAAGCTAAGTGACAAATTAAATGAAAAAAGTGCCCACATTTTTAAAGCTGTAATGCAAAACAACCTTTTATTGCTTCTCATGTGCCACGAATGAATCATTATACTTGTCAACCCTAAACCAAGCCATAATTGGAGCAGCTACTGTTATCAAAGCGGGGCTGCTCTTGTGACAGCTTAATAAAGCTGAAACTGTTAAATTAAATCCCAGATGCTTAATCTGATGAAAGCAGTCAAGTAGAAGAATCTTAAGACAAGTATCTACTGCTTGGTGGAGTGATGGAGCCCAACAGCTTGTCAACATGTAGATTACAGGATCAGATTTTTATTTTTGTGAACTACCATTTTCAGTATCTTTATATCCTCTTGCTTGCATTTGTGGTGAAGAAATTTCACGTAATTTGCATGTTTCAAAACAAACATTTCTAGCAGATTTCCTCCATTTTGATATTTAAGAACTGTTTAAGGGGGAGGAGAGCTGGGGTTTTTTAAGTCAAGGATTAGTTTCTTGTGGAAGAAAAATATGATGGCTGTGTCATGGGGGAGAAGCTGTGTCCAAAGAGCTCTTGCAAGGCAGGGCAGTGGATAACGC